CTGCATAGAGAAGGAACACCCTGTGTTTAGAGTGGGATTATATATGCTATATGCCTCTGTGTAAGTAAGGAATGTAGATTTGTCTCATCATTTCACACAAATGTAATTCAACGCACAAAACCACTAAATTGTCTCAACAGGCAAATTTTAAGTAAATAATTTTCTGAAAAAAATCCCGTTTTTGCAAAAGAAAAAGGAATATTTACAAAGAAATCTTAAATACACATACCTTCTGTACAGTTAGAATACTTAAACAAAATATTATATATAAAATATTAAATTGGTTTTTAAAGATTAATTTCAATATACATGAAAACAATACTAATTATTTTATTATACACACACATATATAAATATTTGGTTATAGACTACTTCAAATTTATCATATAATAACTCCTTGTATTTCTCCATCCCTAAATCCACAGGGGAAAAACACGTTTCTATCTTGATTTCTTATATTACATAGTGTCTCAAGAATCATCTCGGAGTCATTCCCAATAGCTCCTTTTTGCTGGTACATGAACCCCTTTGAGGGGCAGTCTTGTGCCTTCTAAGTGAGAACTGTCTCTCACCCATAGCTGTTCCCACCCAGTGCCTAAGTTCAGGCCTTCAGTTCTTTCACCAGCTGTGCATTGTAGAAATTCAAAGTTCTGTGCTGCTCATGAAATCAGTCAGGCAGGCTCCATGATTAAACAACTATAGTCAAGTCAGTCATAATCTTCAGAATTCACCTACTGTTCATCTCTTAACTTCCCCTTTAGACTTTATCCTTGGTGAATCATCCTGGTTGACACCATCCCCTTTCATGAATCTTTCTTTCTAGCTCCTTCATCTGGTGAACTTCTATTTATATAACGAGAATACAAGAGTAACTTCTAAGACTTCTCAGCTTTCAAGTATATTTTCACCTCTGAACTTCCATAGCAACTTTATTTTAAACATTTCTACGTTAACATTCTCCATGTGGTTTTGTAATACATCTGTTGACATATCCTCCTACACACCATCACTGTGTCTTATGTATTTTAACCTTAGTGTTAGTGGAGATTGAACTTGCCCAGGGGGAGCTGTCTGGATGAATCATATGGAACACTTTCACACCTGTTGGCTTGAACAGAAAGAACTCTTTGTGTGAAGGAAGCCCAAAAAATTTTAAGGGAATAGCCTGTATTGGATTCCATTGTGAAAGACACTTCATTTAGAAACCTCACTGTTTGCATTTCTAGCAAGCTTCTTTTTTTTAAAAAAAAATATTTTTATGTATTTAAGTGTTTCGTCTGCATGGATGCAAGTACAGTGATGCATGAAATGCCCAGAGAGTCCAGAAGAGGGTGTTGGAGTCACTAGAATCCAAAAAAATAGCAACTGGAGCTAGGGACAGTTGTTAGCTGCCATATGGGTGCTGGTAACCAAACCTGGATCCTCTGTAAGAGCAACCAGTATTTTTAACCATTAGCCATCTTTCCAGCCCCTAAAAGACTTCTTTTAAGACTATTAGCAACTGTTTATTGCTGAGTGAGGGTGAGTTGATATTCTTTAAGGAAGTGCTCTAAATAGGCTGACTAGACTCCAGTAGATGAACCTGCACCAAGGGACATCTGGGTAGGAACGCTTGACATGATAGGCCCTAACATATATGACAGAATGCCTAAAATTTGGTGGAGGGAGAATCTGGAGGGTGCAGATGGGGGAGGGTGTCTAAATATGATTAAGATTTACTGTATGAAATGCACAAAATTTCAATAAACTATCATTTAAAAGACATCTTTTCATTTTATTTGACTTATTCTGCACTATTTGAGAGTTTTGTGTGCACATACAGTGAAAGAAGATCATTCCAACCTCCACGCATTTTCTCCCTCTAACTTCCCCAAGGGCCTCGCCCAACGTGTCTACCTCCAACTTAATGTCCTTTTCTTCCTTTTTTTCCCTCCAAAACTACCCACTAAGTCCATTTATTGCTGCCCATACGTGCATGAGTGTGGGGCCATCCACAGGAGAAAGGGCAACTAACCAGCGACCACACCCCCAAAAGAATGATGCTCTCTCCCCCAGCAGCTAATAGGGTAGGATTTCATGACTGGTGCTCTCCCCCACACACACACACAGCATCTCACAACCCTCCTCCTATCCTCTGCCTGTGACATCTGTCACCTCATTGATTCAGCTGATCTGGCCGGCTAAGCAGGTGTCTCCTTCATCCCTTACTGCTCCATGTGCATCCCTTCTGAAGCTGTGCTCACAGTGAAACAGGACAGCCTTCCCTGTCCTTCCCCAACCGAGGAGGGCAGGTCTTTAGTCAAGCGTGTAAGAGTAGCTGAGCTCAACTTTAGAACTTACAAACAAGCTCTCAGGGTCCATTGATTTGGCATTTAATGATTCCAGTGAACAGATAAATCAGAAAAGACAAGTATGCATGAACATATATCTTTAAACAGATATTTCTCGAAAACTTACAAATGTCAAATAGGTTCCGAGAAAAAGTTCAGTTTCACTAATTCTCAGAGAAATGAAAATCAGAACCACAGTCAGGTATCACTAGACCTCAATAGAATGGCTATAATTAACTTGACTAAATATAACACAGTTTGGGTCTGGAAAGATGGCTCAGCAGTTAACAACCCTGGTGACTCTTGCAGAAGACCCAGTTCCATTTCCAGTACCCATATGGTGGCCAACAACTGTACCTAAAGTCAGTTTCGGGAGATTCAACACCCTCTTTTGTCCTCCACGGACATTGCATAACATGGGTACACTTAACATGCATGCAAGCAAAACACTCATACACATAAATTAAAAATAATAAAATATTTTTTAAAAAATATAACAGGATTGATGAAGATATGATGTGGCGTGTACACTGTAGGTGGATCACTATAGCCATTATTGAAAATAGTACAGAGTTCCTCATAATGCTGAAGATGAAACTACCATTTGATCCATCATTCCACTAATGGATATATACTGAGAGTAACTAACATCAGTGGGTTGAAGAAGCATCCACATTCCCATGTCCAATGAAAAACTGTTCACAACAGCCAAGAACTAGAAACAAAGTATCATCTGATGAGTGGATAAAGTAAATAGGGTACAGATTCAGTATGAATCTGAATAGTACGAAATATGTCATTTTGTCACCTCATGGATAGTACTAGGGAACACTATGTTAAGTGAAATGACCTGCTAATAGATAGACAGGTGGGTTATGATCTCAGGGATTACCAGAGGCTGTAATGAGTGTGGAGAGAGAGAAGTCATGGAAAGGCAGACTAATGGTACTAAGATATGGGTAGAAGGAAGCAAAAATGTTTTGGTGTGCCATTGCCCAATGGGGTAGTAAAAGATGACAAAATACATTTGATAAATCTAGGAAAAAGATTTTTCAAAGTTCTCACCACAAAGAAAGGGTAAACAAGCCAGGAGTGGTGGTGCACCTTTAATCCCAGCACTCGGGAGGCAGAGGCAGGTGGGTCTCTGTGAGGTGGCCAGCCTGATCTGCATAGTGAGTTTCAAGTCAGCTGGGCCACAGGGAGACCCTGTCTCAAAAAGACCCCCCGTAAAAAAAGAAAACGAAAAACACTCGAGGAGACGGATATGTTTAACTTGATTTATTTAAAACAGTATATTAAAAGTTTTTTTTTTAAATTTCTGCAACAAATTTAAATAGAAAGATACCTATAATATTTACAGGAGAAAATAATAAGTTAATATTTAATTACTATTTTTTATTTTCACAATTGAGGCAACTGTTCTCTGTAGTGAAACATTCTGAAATTTTAAATTATTAAGCTATTATTAAGTTAGAACATGTTTAGCAGAGTAAGGCATAACTGTATACTGATAGAATGTAAAACACACACACACACACACACACATATGTGTTATTTTTTCTTTGGTCTTTTTGAGACCAGGTCTCTCTGTAGCCCCAGCTGGCCTGGCACTCACTATATAACCCAGGCCAATCATGATTTCACAGAGATCTCCCTGCCTCTGCCTCCTAAGTGCTGGGACTAAAGGTGTGTGCAACCATACCCAGCTTAAAAAATATCTCCTATTTTTTAAATGGGAAATATTTTATAATATTTTATTGATGGAAAAAGGATAAGCTTTATTTCATTGAAATAACTCAAAAGTTAAATAACAGAAGAAATTAATTTTCAAAATTTCATTATTAGTGGAAATTGTTCTAATTTTTATTTGGTAAACAGCAACGGACTTGGATCTAGTCATAGTGATCGTATGAGTGCTTTGACCTGTTCACATACTTTCTGTGAAATTATGAAAGACACCTTGACAGCATTAAGGCAGGAAGAGCAACACTTTATAACTGTTGTCTTTAGTGGGGCATCCTCCTCGATGGCTTGCCTTTCATATGTGTTCTGTGATTCAATTAGTAATTTATTACAAAAGTGAAATTTTGTGTTTTCAGCTAGAATAAATACTGAGATATCTAATAATGTGGCTCATTATTATTCAGATTAAATAGTATGTGCTTCACTGGTAAATACAGCATCATTCACTCTAAAATGTACAGCAGAAAAATCACTGTAATATATTTTGCCTAGAAGCTGGATATAAATTCTGGTACTCAGTAATGACGATGATTTACCTAGAGTCAACTTGTTGACCACTTAAGAGAACCAATTTCCATTCAGCAGTATTTATGAAGCCATGTTCTACAGAGAGCTCTTTGTGAGGACTGAGAATGGTAGGCAGGGTAGAGAAAATGCAGATACCTGAGTTGCAATAATCAAAACCCTTAAAAAAGGCCATTACATTAAAATTTCAAACATAAAAAGAAGAGATGGAGATCAGCACATTATGTATAGAGATCAGCTAGCATCACTGAAGTCATGAACTAGTGAGGAGTAGCATTTTTATACCATAATTTTAACTAATCTTTATACATTTACTATGCAGAAAATAAGCATGATATTTAAAAAACATACCGTTCTCCTTGCTTCCCTCCACTTTTGGGGTTGACAAAAACTAGAAGCGGATGTGTGCCAGGAACAGGAGTGATCTAGAAGAGAGGTTGTATATATAAATAAATTGTCAGACCTGTGGCACATGAAAAGGATTCCTGTTACTGCTCATCCAGAAAAACCAAGTCACACATTCAGGAGTTGTGACTGATCCTTGCTACAAAGTGAATCAGCAAGGACACAGTCTCTGCACAAAGATGTGGTTAGGCATAGGGCAGAAGTGAGGCCTCTGGGAAAAGGAGGGTAAGAGCTAGGAGACGGAGACAAAGTTATGATTCGAGGGACGTTAGCAAACTAGCCAGAATAAATCAGAGTTTGAGAGAAACAAGAGTAACCCATGGAAACCCTTGTATTTTCAGAGAACCTCTGACTTAGAGCTCTGTGTTGCACATGGAATGCATCTCCCTACCATGTGTGAACTAGTAACTCATTAAGATGGCCTGGGACTCCACTCAGACTCTTCACACTGCTTCACTGCCATTTCTTAAGCTTGGTTTTTCTGTATTGTGAACAGAGATATCAGTGAACAGAGTCTATTTCTTAAGGAAAAGTCACTACTTCTGGTCTTACTAAAAGGAATGGACACTGACCCCGACTCTATAGGTTTGGTTGCATCCTTGCTAATTTTGATGTGAATCAAAAAGACAAAGTTCCTTCCTTAAAGATCTTTTATCTTAGCAAGAAGTACATGGATTCCAAGCAAATGAACAAATTAGTATTCAGTAGAGAAATGTGCCTTGAAGGAAAATAATACAGGTACTGGGAGGGCACGCTACATACACAGGGTAGTTGTTTTAGACAGGGTGGCAAAAAACTCTTGTCCTGTACCTGCTTTCAGTGTTAGTAGGCAGACTCCAAGGCAAGTATAGTGGACAGGAATAATATTATTCAAAGAACATTTACATCATGTTTAAACAGAGCTTAATACAAAAGGTTTAAAATATTTTAGTAAAAAGTTATAAAGCAAATCGGTCACTTTACATAAAAAGTTGAGAAGTTTTAAAATTGAATATTTGGAAGTGGATCAGGTTATCCATACCCCAGTGTTATTTCTCCTCTAGGGAGGACCATTAAATATTTAATGATACAATTGAAAACAATAATTTCACAATACTATGCCCTTTCTTCTGTCAGTTTTTATAACATCAGTTAAAATAGTCTTTCATCCAAATCTTAAGTGATATGGCATTTTCCTAATGAGTATTGGCGAGGTAGAAATGCTAAAACCTTCACATCAGCTAAATGAGAACTTTGAGGGCAATATTCTTCATTTTTATTCTTGTACCCAACTAGTCCTCACTAAAATCTATGGCTGTGTCTACCACTGTTTTATTTTTCCTGGTAAAGAGCACAGAAATTTTTGCCAGTTTTCTTCTAGCTCAGTTGGGGAAGGAGAGCGATAGTAAAGTCCATAACACTTCCTACTCCTCTCTTGACCCAAATGTGCTCAATCAACTAATGTGCATGGAGAACGTTAAAGCAATGATGGCAATGGCCTGCAATATATGTCCCTTTACCCACTAAAAACTAAAATGAGCCAACAGAAACATACCTATATCTGAAGACCAGCATTCAAATTCCTTTAGTTTTCTTCATATTGTGAAATGGAAGCTCCTAAATTTATCTTATGCAAAAAGGAATCCTAACATATGCATATTTTATTTAAGTTTAATTTGAATTGTTATTTTTTGGCTTGAGACATGAAAATTTCAAGGTAAATAAGGTATTGTGTGTATGTGTGCGTACACATTATTCTATGACATGTACATACGTATATGCGCATATGGCGATCACAGACTGATATCCTTCAGATGTCTTCAAATGTTTCCCGCTATTTTTCGGAGACTAAGTCTCTCTCTGAACTGGAGCTCAATTATCGGTTAAATCAGTTATCCTCCTGCCCTGCCACTCCAGTGCTGAGATTCCTAGAGTGCTGTGTTGTTCCTGGTTTTGTGCATGGATACTTGGGGGCCAAACCCAGGTCTTCATCCTTGTACAGCAAGTACTTTACTGAATAAGCCATCTCCCCAGCCCACAAATAAGGACTTTAAGAAAAGTAATAAGCTTGATTTCAAACATTTATTATAAAGATTTTGCTTCTTTCCTAACTCCTCAGTTCATCACTGTACAAGGTTATGCATACAATTCCCATTGGTTCAGTATTTGAAATACTTCTGAAATGCTTTTTTGAATGCATTTCAGAGATGTTTACTGAAATATCTAATGGCATCATTACAAGTTATCAAATAATAAAAAATATTCTCCAAATTCCATTATTATTAACAAATACATTGTAATCTGTAAATGAACAAAATAAAGCAAAAAATTCTAGATATCACTTTTACATCTATTTAGATGGAGAAATGAATTAAATGCCTAGAGGAGATAGAATTTTAAGACTTTAGAAGATGACAGCATTTCTAAGTAACAAAAATCA